TGCATTTTATTCCCCCACTCCACACTCACATAAAATAGTTGGCGCCGTTGCACCTTGCGTCTCGAGCCAGCTCGAGCTGGGCTTCGACGCCGTTGCGCACCGACACGCCTCGACAAACCGACACGCCTCGACAAAATGACCGCGCGCAAGACGATGCAGATGAAATCCCACCTCGGACGTACCGGATGCTCGACGAGCCGCAGCCGCGCCGCTTAGACCATACGCGATAACGAAATGCAACTCGTGCTACATGAACGCCGTGCTGCAGATGTTCCGGGCGAGCGACTGGTTCGTCCGGTTCATGCTCAATCTGCGGCTGCCGTCGCGCGAGGACTCGCTCGTGCGCGAGTTTCAGCTCGTCCTCGCGCGCATAGCGCCATGACTGGCGCTCGACCGCTGCTGGGGTCGCGGAGCCCGCCGGCTTTGCGACTCATCCGGAAATCGCCGCGCACGCGCCCACGCCGTTCAAAGCGCAGATGGCAAGTAAGGCGGCTCGGCTGGAGCGGTCGGGGGCGCGCGGCGCGCGCGGAGAACGCGACCGCAACATGGGGGAAATCAGCCAAAGACAGCCGAAAGCACGCGAGTCCTCGAAACAAGTCTCGCACGCCGGCGTCGACGTTCGCGTTCCCTGAGCGGTGGCGTTCCCTCGGCGGCTCAAGAAGCTCGTCCCGAAGCGCATTCGCCGGCTCTTCAAGCGCAAGAAGCCGCCGCCGCCGCCCGCGCCGCCGCCGCCGCCGCCGCCGCGGCGCCCGCGGCCGCGGACCCCCCCGCCGCCGACGCGGACGACGACGACGGCGACATGACGTCCTTCGCGACGCGCCCGCCGTCGACGAAGAAGCGCGCGGCGCCGAAGCGGTCGTCGCGGGCCGACGAGGCCGGGGGCGCGCGCGCGGCCGTCAAGAAGGCCGCCGAGGCCGACCGCCCGCGGCGGCCGTCGTCCAAGGACGCGGGCGACGTGCCCGAGCACCGCAAGATGGCGAGCCTGCTCCGCAAGCTCGAGGCCGAGGGCAAGAAGGGCTCGGGAGCTTATAAGGAGCTCGCCGCGAAGCACGGCGCGGCGCTCCACCGGCGCCTCAAGGAGCTCAAGTGCGACTTGACGGACGCCGAGCTGCGCACGCTCAACAAGCCGGACAACGAGGGCGAGATCCCGCTCCACAAGGTCGTCTACGAGTATTTCGCTTTGGCGTCCGGAGCCAAGGGCGCGACGACGTCGAAGCGGATGGACGCGTGCGTCGCCAAGGCGCGGGGTTTGTGCGAGGCCGGCGCGAAGATCAACCACAAGAACAAGTACGGCGACACGCCCCTCCTGGCCGCGGCCCAGACCGACTCCGCGGACATCGCGAAGGTGTTGTTGGAATACCGCGCGGATCTGACGCTCAAGAACCGCCAGGGCTACACGCCCCTGCTCATGGCCGCGTCGGAGAACCGGCCCGGCGCGGTCGCCGCCATCGTGCCCGAGATGTTCGCGCGGCGGTTGAGCCTGGACGCGCTCTCGGGCGGCTACTCGGCGCTGCACTGGGCGTGCATCAACAACGCGCCGAAGATGGTCCAGGTCCTGCTCAAGCACAAGGCGAACAAGAACCTGGGCACGGACCCCGACGGCCACACGCCCCTCATGAAGGCCGCGGCCTACAACTCGGCCGCGTCCGTCGAGCAGCTGCTCCGCGCGCGCTGCGACGCGACGGCGGTCGACGCGGACGGCCGGACCGCGCTCCACCACGCGGCGAAGAACAAGGCGACGCTCTGCGTCCAGATGCTCATCGCGTCCGGCGTGCCCGCGGACGTCGTCGACGACCACAACCAGAAGGCCGTCTTCTACGCGGCGGTGGCGAAGTCGAAGCCCTGCGTCACGGCCATCTCCGCGGCCATGCCGGGCTTCAAGAACACGCCGGACGCCCAGAAGGTCAAGCTCATCATGGAGGGCAAGCGCGTCGCCCACGACGACGACGACGACATGGGCGGCGACGGCTGGGGCGGCTGCTTCGGCGGCTCCGGCGGCGGCGGCTGCTTCTGAGGGAACGCGTAAGGCGCGCGACCGGGGCGGCGGCGCGTCCGCGCGACGGGGCGACGGGGCGGGCGTCGAGGCTCTCGCGAGGAGGCGCCCGGGCGCGGCCAGGGATCCAGGGGTGCGTCGCGCGCGGCGCCGCGCGCGACGACGACGACCGCTGCCTGGTCGGCTGCTCGTCGGGCCCAGGTGTCTCGCCGCGCCGCAGCCGCACAAAGCCAGCAAAAGCGTCGGCCGCAGCGCTGCCATGGCCGCCGACCCCTTCGAGGGCGCCGCGAGCGACGGCCTCGATGAGCTCAACGCCAAGCTCCAGGAAGAGATCGCCGCGCGCGAGGAGAAGGAGCGCGTGCTGACGGTGCGCCATCCCAAACAAGCAACGCGACGGCATCCGACGTTGCCGCCCCGCGCGCAGGAGGAGCGCAAGGACCAGGCGGAGAAGGACCTCGACAAGTACTACGACGACCTCACGGACAAGAAGGCCATGAAGCAGGCCCAGAACCGCGCGGCGCCGGCGCCCGCGGCCGGAACCGCCGGCCGCCGCGGCCGCCGCGCGCGCGTGCGCGCGCCGCCGCCGCCGCGCCGCTTGTGACGTCCCGCCCGCAGGCGAGCACGAGGAGCTCACCAAGGCCCAGACGGAGAAGGACGTCTCGAACCCCTTCGAGCGCGTCGTCGACCTTATCGGCGGCGCGGCCGACGACGGCGCGGCCTGCGACAAATCGATTTTCCGCTCGCTGCTCGTGAGGCTCAAGAACGACCCCAAGCCGCCGGCGAGGCCAGCGGCGGCGGAAACCGAGCCGGCGGCGCCCGAGCCGGAGCCGGCCGACGACCCGTTCGCGGCCGCGGACCCGTGACGCGGCGCGCGCGCGCGGCGGCGGACGCCCGCGGGCCGCTCGGACCGACCCGCGGCGGACGACGGCCGCCGCTTCGACACAATAACGATGTTTGAACTTGTTTTGGCGGCGTCGGGGGCTTCATGTTGAAGGCAACGTGCTCTGCCATTTTGTGGACATGGTGGATGACAAGACTCACATCGGCTGGAGCCCGTAGCGTTGGGCATCCACAAAGCCATGTCCATGTCCGGGGACCACCGCGACGCCCTCGCCAACACGAGCCTCGAGGTGCTCCAGTTCGGCGGCGCCGTCGCCGCGGCCTGCTACGTGCGCGCGAAGCTGCGGGCGCCGGCGCACCCGGGCGCCTGCGCGCTGCTCACGACCAACGACGCCGAGGCCGGCGGCGCCACGCTCCGCGCCGTGCGCGCGGAGGTCGGCCCCTACTGGGTCGCGGAGCTCGCGGCCGGCCTCGTCGCGGCCCACAAGCTGCTGAGCCTCTGCGCGGAGAACGCGCGCGCGCACCAGCGCGTGCCCCACCCCTACCCGGCCGTCGGGGGCGTCGCGTCGTGCCTCGCGTACGCGCTCGTCGCGCGGCTCTTTTCCGCGGTGTCGTCGAGCCCGCCCGGCGGCGGGAAGCGGACGCGCGCGGGCGAGCGCGCGGCGTCGGCCGCGCTCTGCGCCTGGTGCGGTCTGGGAGTATTGTTCGAGGCGACGTGCCCGTCGGACCGGTTCTACGTGGCGCCGCACACGGACGCCGGCGGCCGCGACGGCGAGGCCGCGGTCCGCCTCGTCGCGCTGTCCGTGGGCTTCGCGGCCGCGCTGCTCGCCGTCGCGGCGCCGCCGGCCGTCGAGCTGCGGGAGGCGCCGGCGACGCCCGAGGAGGCGGCGTCGCTCCTGTCCTTCGTCACTTTCGGCTACTTCACGCCCGTCGTCGATAAGGGCGCGGCGCCGAAGCGGTACCAGCTGTCCGGCGGCGACGTGCCGCCCGTCGCGCCCGACGCCGGCGCCGCGGCGTGCCTCCGGGCCTTCGAGGGCGCCTTCGACGAGGCGCCGGCGTCCGCGTTCTGGCTCGGGCCCGCGCTCGCGCCCTGGGACTTTTGGACCGCCGCGGCGTTCCAGCTCGGCGCCGTCTGCTTCCAATTCGCGCCGTCGCTCGCCATCCACGCGCTGCTCGCCTTCCTCGGGAGCCGCGGCGCCGCGGGGACGGCGCCCGGGGCGACGCCGCGGTCCGTGTGGCTCGGGCTCGCGCTGTTGGGGCTCGCGCCCGTGGGCCTCGGCGTCTGCGACACGCAGCGCATGATGCGGGGCAAGACGGTGGGGCTCAAGGTCCAGGCCGCGGCCTGCGCCGCGGTCTTCCGCAAGGCCCTGACCGTCGACCCCTTCGGCGCGAAATTCTCCGTCGGCGAGTGCGTGAATCTCATGGCGACGGACGCGCGGACGCTGTGCCGCCTCTTCACCTTCGGCCACCAGCTCTGGGCCGCGCCGCTCCAGACGGCCGTCGCCGTCGCCGGGCTCTGTTTTTTAATCGGCTGGGCGGCGCTGCCGGGCGTCGCCGTCGTCCTCTTCTCCATGCGGTGCACGACGGAGCTCACGAAGCGCGTGAAGCGGCGCCAGCGGTCGATGGAGAAGGTGCGGGACCAGCGGCTCTCGCTGCTCTCGGAGTACGTCGCCGGCGTCCGCGTCGTCAAGCTCTTCGCCTGGGAGGCGGACTGCGCGGCGCGCGTCGGCGCGCTGCGGCGCGAAGAGCTCGGCCACCTCGCGTGGAACAGCGTCCCGCGGCTGCGAATTTCGAGAGATTTCGGGTGGGAAAACGATGAAAAATCGTTACCGACGTGCTTGGTAGGCGTGGAAGCTCTTCTATCGGGCCTGGTTCAAGGTCTTCCGCAACGTGGGCACGGTCGTGGGCTTCGCGGCCTTCGCGACGTCGCGCGCGGCGTGGTACCTCGCGCTCGACGGGCGAGCCGCGACCGCGGGCACGACGGAGGGCTTCACGGCGCTGGTGCTCTTCGCGACGCTGCGCAGCGGCCTCGCGATCTGGCCCCAGGTCGTCCAGATCTACGTGCAGGCCAGCGTGGGCTGGGAGCGCATCGCCAACTTCCTCGGGCGCGACGACCTGCAGGCGGGCGCGACGTCGAAGAGCGGCGCGCGCGGCGAGTGCCGCCTCGCGCACGGCGGCGACGGCGGCTTCGCCGCGTGGTCCGCCGGCGGCGCGGCCGTCCTGCGCGGCCCCTGCGCCTTCGTCGCCGCGCCGGGCGCGCTGACCTGCGTCTACGGGCCCACGGCCAGCGGCAAGTCGTCGCTGCTCCGCGCGCTGCTGGGAGAGTTGCGGCTCCGCGGCGGCGCGACGGCCGCGCTCGGCGGCCGCGTGTCCTACGTGCCCCAGAAGCCCTGGATCTGGAACGGCACGCTCCGGGAGAACATCTTGTTCGGCGCACCGCTCGACCGAAACCGCTACGACGCGGTGGTGGCCGCGTGCGGGTTGTCGCGCGACTTGAACGAGCTGCCCGCGGCGGACGAGACGGAGATCGGCGAGAAGGGCGTCAACCTCAGCGGCGGCCAGCAGCAGCGCGTCGCGCTCGCGCGGGCCGCCTACGCGGACTCCGCCGTCGTCCTGCTCGACGACGTCCTCTCCGCCGTCGACAGCCGCGTCGGCGCGCGGATATTGGACGACCTCGTCGACGGCCCGCTCTTCCGCGGGCGCACGGTCGTGCTCTGCACGCACCAGGTCCGCGCGACGGCGCGGCGCGCGGCGCGCGTCTTCGAGATCGAGAACGGGCGCGTCGCCGAGCGCGACGCGGATCCCGACGACGAGCGCGCGGAACCGCGCGCGTCCGCCGGCGTCGACGAGCGGCCGGACGCGCGGCGCGGCGAGGACGGCAAGCTGACGAAGGAGGAGCACCGCACCGCCGGCGCCGTCGCGTTGCAGCTCTACTGGACCTACATGCGGAGCGCCGGCGGCGCCTCGTTCGCCGTGGTCTGGGCGAGCCTGGGCGGCTTCGTCCAGGCGGCGTCGTTCGCGAACCGGCTCTCCTTTGGCCGCTGGGTCGCGACGGCGCAGGGCGACGGCGGCGGGGCCTTCGGTCTCTACGCGGCGACGACGGCCCTCTTCGTCGCGCTGGTCGCGCTCCGCGCGGCGCTGAGCGGAATCGGCTCGTGGCGCGCGTCGTCGCGGATCCACGACGCGATGCTGGCGCGGCTGCTCGGTGCGCCCCTGGCCTTCTTCGAGCGGACGCCGAGCGGGCGGCTCCTCAACCGCTTCTCGTCGGATCTCGCGTCCGTCGACGACGAGCTCATGGACGAGCTCTACCTGTTCGTCGACGCGGCGGCGTCGCTCGTCGCCGTCGTCGTCGTCGTCGTCGCGCTGGTCCCGCTCGTCGTCGTCGCCTGGGTGCCCGTCCTGCTGGCGACGTCCCGCGTCGCCGGGCGCTACCTCGCGACGTCGCGCGAGCTGAAGCGGCTCGACAGCACGACGCGGAGCCCCATCTACGGCGGCTTCTCGGAGGCGCTCGACGGCCTCTCGACGATCCGCGCGTTTGCGCGCGGGGCGCTCGAGGCGGGCAAGCACGAAAAGCTACTGGACGCGCACTCCGCCGCGGAGCTCGCCTTGTGGACGTCGAACCGGTGGCTCGTGCTCCGCCTCCAGCTGCTGAGCGCGGCGATCTACGTCGCCGTCGCGGCCTACGCGGTCCTCGCCGCGGAGCGCGCGGCGCCGGCGCCGGGGTCGACGACGGCGCTCGGCCTGGTGCTGCTCTACGCGACGCAGTGGGTCCAGTCGACGAACCAGGTCGTCCGCCAGCACGCGACCGTCGAGATGCAGATGAACTACGTCGAGCGCTGCGACGAGTACGCGACGAAGCTGCCGAATGAAGACCCGGGGGGCGCCGCGCCGCCGGGGGCCGCGCCGTTCCCGGCGGGCGCGCTGGCCTTCGAGGACGTGTGTTTGCGGTACGCGTCGAGCCCGACGGACACGCTCCGGCGCGTGTCCTTCGCCGTCGCGCCCGGGAGCCGCTGCGGCGTCGTCGGGCGCACGGGCGCGGGCAAGTCGACGCTCGTGACCGCGCTGCTGCGGCTCGCGCCCCTCGCGGGCGGCCGCGTCCTCGTCGACGGCGTCGACGTCGCGGCGCTCCCGCTCGCGGTCTTACGGCGCGGCGTCGCCGTCGTGCCGCAGGCGGCGACGCTGTTCTCGGGCACGGTGCGGTCGAACCTCGACCCCTTCGGTTCCGCAGCGGACGGCGCGCTGCGCGAGGCGCTCGCGCGCGCGGGGCTCCGGGACGCGCTGGGCCCGGACCGCGCGATCCGCGCGGGCGGCGACGACGTGTCCGGCGGCGAGGCGCAGCTGCTCTGTTTGGCGCGCGCTTTACTCAAGGGCGCGAATCTCCTCGTCTGCGACGAGGCGACGGCGAGCGTCGACCGGCGCGCGGACGAGGCCATCCAGCGCGTCGTGCGCGGGCTCGAGTGCACCGTGCTCTGCGTCGCGCACCGGCTCCGGACCGTCGCGGGCTTCGACCGCGTGGTCGTGCTGGACCGCGGCGCCGTCGCGGCCTTCGGCCCGCCCGGCGACCTCCTCCGCGACGAGGCCTCGCCCTTCTTCGACCTCTGCCACGCGTCGGGCGAGCTCGACGTCCTGCGCCGGCTCGCGGCCGGCGGTCCTCACGCGGACTAATACTCCTCCCGGGGACCGCCCCTGCGACGTGGCGCGGGTTGGCACGGCGGATGTCGGAGCCGCCCCGCGTCGCGAGCCCCCCGGGCCTCGGCGTCCTTACGTCTTCCCCGGGTTCGCGAAGAGGAGGCGGTCGCGGGCGACGAGCTCGTCGTCGGCGGCGGCGGCGCCCCGGGCGCGCAGGAGCACGGCCACGGTGCCCTCGAAGTCGCCGCGGCGCGTCGCGCGCGCGCGATCTAACGGCGTCTCGCCGTCGCTGTTGAGGCGCGTCGCGTCCGCGCCGTTCTCCAGGAGCAGCGCCGCGCAGGCCGCGTGGCCCTTGGCGCAGGCCGCGTGGAGCGGCGTCGACCCCTCGTCGTTGTGGAGGTTCGCGTCCGCGCCGAGCTCGAGGAGCGCGGCGAGCGACTTCGCGTGGCCCTTGAAGGCGGCGCGCGTGGACGGCGTGGCCTCGTTCATGGAGCGGCCGTCGACGTCGGCGCCGGCGCGCTCGAGGACGTGGATGACGGCGACGGCGGCGGCCTCGTCGGCGCAGGTCGCGGCGTAGTGGAGCGGGCTCCAGCCGTTGACGCGCGTCCCGCAGGTCGGCGACGCGCCCCGCTCCAGGAGCTTCTTCACCGCCGCGGCGTCGCCGTCGCTGCACGCGCGGCAGAGCTCCTCGTCGAGCGGCGTCGGCGCGTAACGCTTCGGCGGCATCGAAGTGTTCGGGCTGCGTCTTAGGCGACCATCGTCATCTCCGCGAGTCTAAAGAGCACTGTCGGCTCGTTGAGGATTTCGTGGCATCATTGCCTCGATTGTCGGAGAGCTGCTCCGGGAGTATTCTTCGACGATGGCCAAGCTCGGTGATACCTCCTACCAGCCCATGCTGGGGTCGGTCCTCGAGGCGCCGTCCCCGCACGAGCCGCAGCACTTCGAGGTCAAGGAATTTCCCAAGCTCCAGCCCTACTGGCCCCTGATGATTCCCTACGTCGGCTGCATCTGCGCGCCCTGCATCCTCACGGCGAACCACCGGCTCGTGCTCGAGGCCGACGAGGCCGTCCTCTACAAGAGCAACATCTGCGGGTCGAGCGTCGAGCGCCGGCCCTAGTGCGACCCGGCGTCGAGCGCCGCGGTCCGCGCGCGCGCGCGCGGACCCTCCCGCGTTCCGCGCGCCCGCCCCCCTCCCCCCCCCGCGCGCCGTCTTACCCGCCCGCCCCGCGTAGCGCGCAGCTCGGCGACGTCAACCACATGAAGTGCTGCGGCTGCTTCGAGGGGGTCAAGACGGACCTGTCCGAATCGAAGGACGGGCACATCCCGATTTCGCCCGGTTGCGGCTGCGACGCGGCCACGGTCCAGGCCATCGTCGACGAGCTCCAGGCGCGCAAGATCGGCCGCGGCAACGTCGCCCAGCTGCGCCAGCAGGAGTTGCACATCGCCTACACCAAGGACGTGAACGCGAAGCTCGACCTCATCATGACGCACCTCGGCTTGCAGGCGCCTCCGTCGAACGTCGACGCGCTCGTGGCCGGCGGCGGCGCGGCCGCCCCGGCGGCGCCGCCCATGCTCCGATGAGGGCCCCGCGGTTCTCGAACGGCTCGTGGAACGGCTGCGCGCTAAGTGCAGCGACCCACGTTGACGCGCGGTTGCATCGCGCGGTTGGGGCAGCAGCACCATGGCGACGGAGGAGGACGCGACGGTGCGCGCGGGCTGCATGAAGATCCCGAGGAAGTTCCTCGAGTCCGCGGACCGCGCCGGCGTCGCCGGCACGGACGGCGCGGCCTACGGTCACATCCGCGGCCTCGGCGGCGTGTCCTACGACGCCCGCGCCGGCGCGGCGGCCCAGCACCGCGCGATCGTCGTCGAGGAGATGCTCGCCGGCGACGGCGGGAGCCGGGTCACCTTCGACGACGTCGTCGGCCTCGAGAACGGGAAGCGGTCCCTCAACGAGGCCGTCGTCCTGCCCCTCGTCGCGCCGAAATTCTTCTCCGGCGCGCGCAAGCCCTGGAACGGCGTCCTCCTCTTCGGCCCGCCGGGCTCGGGGAAGACGCTCCTCGCCAAGGCCGTCGCCGGCGTCCACGGCGTGCGCTTCTTCGACTGCTCGGCGTCGGCGCTGCTCAACAAGTTCTGGGGCGAGTCGGAGAAGATCGCGCGGACGCTCTTCGCCGTGGCCCGCGAGCTCGCGCCGTCCATCGTCTTCATGGACGAGATCGACGCGCTCATGGGCGACCGGGGCCGCGAGGCGGCCAACGGGGCCGACGAGTCGAGCCGGCGGCTCAAGGTCGAGCTCCTCGCGCAGATGGACGGCCTCACGACGTCGGACCCGGAGGACCCGAAGCGCGTCATCGTCGTCGCCGCGTCGAACCTGCCCTGGGAGCTCGACGACGCGTTCCGCCGGCGGCTCGAGCGCCGCGTCTTCGTGCCCCACCCCGACGCCAAGGACCGGGCGACCATGCTCCGCGGCTTCCTCGCGGACGTGCCCGTCGCCGCGGACGTCGACTACGAAGCGCTCGCCCGGCGCACGGAGCACTACAGCGGCGCGGACCTCAAGTCGCTCGCGCGCGACGGCGCCTACGCGCCCGTGCGGCGCCTGCTCGCGGCGAAGACGCCCCAGCAGATCGCCGCGCTGCGGCCCGACGCGCCCGGCGCGACCATCGACGTGCCCCCCATCCTCGCGGCGGACCTCGAAGCGGCCCTCGAGCGGACGCGGCCCGCGGCGTCGCCCGCGAGCCTCGCGCGGTACGTCGCCTGGAACGACAAGTTCGGGAGCCAGTAACAACTTAGCGCCGCCGCCACTTCGGCGTCCGCTTCTTCGGGGGGTCGCGCGCGGCGGCGACCTGCGCGTCGAGGAGCAGCTGCATCGTCGCCTTGGCCTTGCCCGTCCGGCGGTCCGCGGGCGGCAGCACGCCGTCGGGCGTGCGGCCTTTCGCGTCCTTGCGCGTCGCGTCCGCGCCGCGGCGCAGGAGGAGCACGACGAGGTCCGGCCGCTCGCCCGCGGCCGCGCAGTGGAGCGGCGCGCGGCCGCGCGCGTCGGGGAGGTCCGGGTCCGCGCCCGCGTCCAGCAGCAGGTCCGCGCATTTGCCGTGGCCGTAGACGACGCACTTGTGGAGCGGCGCCTGCCCGAGGAACGCGAGGTCCGACGCCGTCGCGTCCTTGTCGGACCGCGGGCTCCGCAGGTCCAAGATCGCCTTGAATTCGTCCCGCCCGAGCGCCACGCGCAGGAGCACGGCGTCGTCGTTGACGCAGGCGAAGTGGAGGCACGAGTAGCCGTCGCCCGTGCGCCGCGCGTACTCCGCGAGCGCGCCGACCTCGTGGAGCTTCTCCGCCAAGAGCGAGAACGCGTTCGCCTGGCCCATCTCCGCCGCCAAGAGGAGCGGCCCGTAGCCCTGGGCGTTCGTGACCCCGAAGGACGCGCCGGCGTGGAGCAGCGCGCAGACCGCGAGCGTGTTGCCGACCTTGATGGCGATGAGGAGCGGGCAGAGGTGCTCGTCGTTCTCGACGTCGAGGTCGACGCCCGCGACGATGAGAGCGACGACCAAGTCGTCGTGGCCCTCGCCGCGGTCCGCGTCGCGGCTCCAGTCGTGGAGGGCCCAGTGGAGCCGGCCGCCGCCGAGCGCGTCGACGCGGTCGAGGCCCGACGAGCTGTCGCGGCGGAGGTGGAGGAGCTCCGCGGCCGTCGGCGGGTGGTGGTGCCCCGCCTGGGCCCGCTGGAGCGCGTGCTTGTGGACGAGGTGCTCGACGTCGTGCTCCCGCACGCGCGGGTGGACGCCGTCCAGGTCGTCGTCGGAGAGGCCCGCGGGCGACACGCCCAGCGCCCGGCAGCCCGCGCGGACCGCGTCGACGTAGTCGCGGAAGGCCTTCTTCGCCAGGAGCGTTTTCTGGGTCTGCGACCGGGCGCCGCCTTTTTCCGTCGCGAGGCGCTTCATCTGGAGGAACTGCTTGCGGAGCTCGAGGGACGCGTCGCGCTTCTCGAGCACGGCCGCGCGCGTCGCGTCGCTCCACTGCGTGTAGGGCGACTCGTAGAAGGAATTCTTCGCCACTTTGGGCGGGCCGTCGAAGTCGCAGGCCCCGCCGCACAGAGTCGCGGCGGCCGGGCGCGGCGGGGCGCCGTGGAATTGCGCGCCCGCGCTCAGGGCCCGCGCGCCGCCGGCGCGGCTATGGTCCTTGCTTTGCATGACCTGCATGAGGTAGGCCCGCGTCACCGACCCTCGCTTGGCCGCGGCCCCCTGGTCGGCGCCGCAGCAGGCGTCGCAGGGGGCGCAGAGCATGCTGGTGTTCGACGTGGATCGGCGGCGGGGCCACGCAGACCGCTCCCTGCGACGAGACGATGACCAAAGCAGCCCCTGTTTTTCGGCGCGCCGAGGTTGCACATGATTTCGAGTGCACCGTCGCCTGCAACGCTGCGCCGGGCGGTCCGATGATGTCCTAGAGCCCGTTCGCAGCGCCGCCGGGCTGCCCTGATCCGTCGCCATGCGGCCCGCGGCGCGCCGCGGCGCCGCGTGCCTCCTGCTTGCCTGCCTGCTCCGGACCGACGCCTCGAACTGGGCCCAGACGACGGGCGTGCTCAACCAGACGACGGCCATCCCCTACATGCCGTCGAAGCAGCACCCGCACTGGAGCGGGCGCATGGGCGCGGCCATCGCCGTGAGCAACGTGTCCGACGTCGGCGAGACCTACTTCAACGGCAAGTCCTTCCTCTTCCTCATCGGCGGCGACGACTACGACGTCGACGCGGACGAGCGGTCCGCGTTCGACCAGGCGAACCGCGTCCACGGCCTCCGCAACGACGTCTGGAAGCTCGCGGCGCCCGACGGCGAGACCTGGGCCATCAACACGGACATGATCGACCGCACGGCCTACGACCACAAGCTGCCGAAGCAGCACTCGCTGCTCGAGTGGGCCGTCGTCGACCACGGAAAGATACCCGACGTCGGCGAGACCTACGAGCGGTTCATCGAGTGCCAGCAGTACTACCCCGGCCACCTGACGAAGTCGCGAACCTGCAGCGACGAGATCCCGCTCCGGAAGAACGGCTGGTTCTCGCCGCGGCGCATGCACCAGGTGGCCATCTACCGGAACAAGCTCTTCGTCGTCGGCGGCCGCGCGCGCGAGCACGCGCGGCTCGCGGACGAGCGCGCCGTCGGCGGCATCATCGGCGCTAGGCAGATGCAGGACGCCGACGGCTACAGCTCCTGGCACGAGACGTCCGTGCTGAAGAACGACGTCTGGGTGAGCCAGGACTGGGGCGAGTCCTGGAAGCTCATCGAGGCGGGCTGCAAGTCGAACCAGCGCGAGCTGCTCCTGCGCGCGCGCGACTCCACGGACGACGAGGAGAAGCTCGCGCCCATGTTCAACCCGGCGCTGCGCTGCGAGGTCGACGCGGACTGCTACGGCAACCAGGAGACGTGCGACGGCGGCGTCTGCGTCTGCCAGATCTGGTCGCCGCGCGAGCAGCACCGCGTGGCCATCTTCGGGGGCTACATGTACCTCCTCGGCGGCTTCGCCTCGACGCACCAGTCCTACTGCGACGGCATGGCCTGCGGCGACATCGACGCGGGCGGCTACCGCGCGTTCATGAACGACGTCTGGTATTCCAAGCTCGAGGACGCGGGCGACCAGGCCGGGTCGACCTGGGAGATCCTGACGACGGGCGCGCCCTGGGCCGGGCGCGGCGGCCACGCCATCGCCACGGTGCAGCTGTTGCCCGTGGATTTATCGCGATTCGCGCTCTTCGTGTTGGGCGGCGAGACGGGCGCGACGGGCGACAAGTCCAAGGACGAGGTCCTGAACGACGTCTGGTACACGGAGTTCCCGCCGGCGGGCGAGGACCCCGTCGGCTACATCGGCGCCGGCTCCTGGAAGCGGGCCTTCGACTCCGTGGACTGGGCGCCGCGGAAGGGCCACGTGGCCGCGGTCGACGTGCCGAGCGCGAACAACATGATGACGCAGCGCTTATTTATTTCCGGCGGCGTGGACCAGAACGGCACGCTGCTGGGGGACACGTGGTCCTGGGGCTGGGAGTGCGAGAAGACGCCCGCGGGCGTGTCCTACAGCAACGGCGTCTGCGACCCGGACCAGAACGGCGGCACGCTGCGCAACGCGACGGTCTGGCGCCGCGACTACGACGAGGACGCCCTCTTCCGCATGGACAGCGGCGCGAACAAGATCTACGACGAGGGCCAGCCCCAGCGCCACTACGTCGCGCGCGACAGCCCCGTGGAGATGATCGTCAAGGTGTACCTGCCGCTGGGCCTGGGCAGCCCGTCCTACGACGAGGGCTACCCCTACAAGTTCACGCAGGACGTGGGCGTCTACGGCATGGTGCCGCGGCGCAAGGCCCTCATCGACGAGCGGCGCCTCGCGATGCTCCACCGGCTCGGCATCTTTACGATCGAGGATCTCGCGAACGCGGACAAGTTCCAGATCCTGGAGCTGCGGGGGTACCGCGTGCCCGGCGTCGACCCCCTCTTCGACAGCACCTACGACGACGTCTGCGACCACCGCCACCTCGCCATCGCGATCATCGACAAGTGCACCGTCGACGCGCGCATGAACCCGCTGACGCACTACGACCAGGAGGCCTTCATGCCCTGGAACGTCGAGCCCAAGTTCGACGGCGGCGCGCCGCCGGTCCACGTCGGCGACGACGACGACGCGCTCTACTGGAAGGCCAAGTGGCACGGCAAGTCCTACCACCCGGCGCCGCCGGAGGACGACGAGGCGATGATCGAGCACTGGGACGGCTGCCAGGCCATGGGCCTCGTCAACGTGCCGGGCATCGGCGACGTGCCGTCGCCGCCGACGCTGCGGAACCCCTACCGCGAGCTCCAGGAGCTCGTGTGCCGCGCGAACCCCGGGCGGCGCGCCTACGCGGTCGGCGCGTACTTCGACCAGAAGATTTATGTGATGGGCGGCCTCGTCGACAACGCGCGCATGAAGAGCGCCCAGGACATGTGGTACCGCGACGACACGCTCCCGCGGGCGACGCTGTCGCGCACGCCGCGGAAGCTCGACTTCGGGGCGAATTTTCTCAATCTGTTCGCGGAGCCCGAGTACCAGTTCCGCGCGCGCTGGGACAAGGAGGGCACGATCTTCCAGTACATGGTCTACGACGCCGACGAGCACGACATCGTGCGGACCTGGGACAAGACGCGGGGCCGGGCCCAGGTGAACTGGCTCGACGAGTACTACGAGGAGGGCCCGGGCAGCGGCACCTACGTCTTCTACATCCGCGCGCTCGACGCCGCGGGCAACACGGACGTGGCCTACAGCGGCCGGAACCTGTACAAGTGGAAGTACAAGACGCGGCTGCCCTGGGACCGCATCTTCTACAGTGTGGGCGCGCTCTTCGGCGCGCTGACCATGCTCAACGCGGAGTACAAGCGGCGGAAGAAGCGGGCCGCCATAGAGCGCTACGCGATCAAGCGCATGCGCCGCAAGTTCAAGGGCGCCCAGAAGGACCTGGCGGCCAAGGGCGGCGTCGACTGGCGCAAGATGATGGACGACGACAAGAAGAAGCGCAAGAAGAAGGAGGCGGGCGCCGCGGGCGGCGGCAAGGGGTCCAAGAAGGACAAGGACAAGAAGGAGAAGAAGGACCGCGAGAAGGAGAAGAAGAAGCGCGAGAAGCAGAAGGAGAAGGAGAAGCTCAAGAAGAAGGTGGCGTAAGACACCGCCGGACGGTCGGACGGGGGGTGTGTGGGGCATGGGCGCGTGGGCGCGCGCGCCGCAACCCGGCCGCGGACGGGGATTTCAGTAGGCCGCGGCGCGTTGCGGTCGACATTGAGCCTCAACTTGAGCTCGAGGAAGGGGTTGTACGCTGCCATGTGACCGGACGATGGAACTCATGGAATGACCATGCTGAAACTCCTGGGCGTCGCCGGCGTCGCCGCCGCGGTGACGACGGACCTCGGCGGGCGCCACCTCCACATCACGAGCGTCCACGACGGCGACGGCCGCTACACGAACATGCTCCGGTCCGACGGTTCCTTCGAGCCCGACTCGCGCCGGTGGACGGGCTTCTTCCCGGACCTGATCCGGCGCGTCGCGCCCCTGGCGAACTTCAACTACACGCTCCACGCCGCGAGCGGCCGCGGCGCGCGCTGCGGCGCGCCGTCGGCGGACCCGCGCGACCACATGTCCGCGTACAACTGCGCGCAGGACGACGTCTCGGAGCTGAACGCGACGGACGTCTACTGGGCCATGTTCTACGAGACGCCGGGCCGCAGCGCCGTGAGTCGGTTCACGTCGTCGTTCATGAGCGACGTCGGCCTGGGCATGCTCGTCGCCAAGGAGCGGCCGAGCCTCTGGGAGGAATCCACCAAAATCTTCTCGCCGTTCACGAAGCGGCTCTGGATCGTCTCCTTCGCCGTCGCGGCGCTCGTCGCCGCGTCCTTCTGGATCGTCGAGGCGTCGGAGCACGACGCCGCGAGCCCGCCCGCGCACGCCGACGGCGGCTACCTCACGCTGTCGAACGCGGTCAAGCACAGGGCAGCAAAAGAGAGCGAAATTCCCAACTTCAAAGGCTCCGATCTCGGCCGTTTTCCACTCGTTTCGGCTGATTTTTGGACGAGCGATCATCTCTCGGAACGGTCTCGAAGCGTGGATGCTTTTTCCGGAACGCGCGCGCGCGGAACACTCACGTTGAAGCGACGTTGAATCACCCTTTTGCTGCCCAGGTCAAGCACGGGCCGCGATCGCTGAGCCACGCGATCCTGACGTTGTTCAACATGAGCGAGCTCGGCACGACCACGAAGCGCGGCGACGTGCTCAACGTCGTCTGGTGCCTCTTCGCGGTCATCTGGCTCGCGGCGTTCACCGCGAACCTCGCCCAGGTCATGGTCACGGACGTCGCTAGATACGGCGCGGAGACGCTCGACGCGATGAACGACGGGGGTTTGAAGGCCTGCGTGAAGCGGGGGGCCGCCTACGCCGTGCTCATGGAGGGCCTGTATCCCGACATCCGCCAGGTCTACTTCGACCCCGCGGACCTCGACGACGTCGTCGAGAAGCTGCGGAGGGGCGACTGCCACGCGTACGTCGACGTGCGCGCGTCGCTGGAGATCGTCGCGGGGCTGAGCCGCTTCTGCGAGCACGGGCTGGCCATGCCCGGGGAGCCCATCGCGTCGGGGCCCCAGGACATGGCCGTCGGCGTCCGCGAGGATTTGGTCGACGTCCGCGACGCGCTGAGCTTCTGGGTCAACGTCGTGCGGACGTGCTCGCCCGTCATGCCGGATCCCGCGTGCTACGGCCAGTGGAACGTGGACCACATGTGGCGCCACTGGGCCCGGGACTCGTGCGACGCCGCGGTTACGGGGGAAGAAAGGAAGACGCAGCTCGGCGTGGACGCGTTCGCGCTGCCGCTCGCGGCGATCCTGTTCACGAGTTTCGCGGTCGTCGTCCTGGAGCTGTCGACGGACCGCGCGCGGCACCGCGCGGCGACGCTGCTGCGGCGGACGGACGGGCTCCTGAACGCGCTCCGGTCGCGGCGCCGGTGGTGGCACGAGCGCGACGCGTCCAAGTTCCTGCTGTCGGCCTTCGTCGAGGACGTGCGCCGGGGCGCGGCCGGCGTCCACGAGGAGCTCCGGCGGCCCCTCCTGGACTACTACCTCACGACGGACATGGTCGCGTGGAAGGCTTTGAAGAAGGCGCTGACGACGCTGACGGACCTCCTCGCGAAGCTCGAGGGCGCCGACGGCGAGCGGCCCGCGGAGAACTTCGACCGCCTCCACAAGGACGCCGCCGACGCCGTCGCGGACCTCGCGCGGCGCGCGGCGCACGAGACGCTCGTCGCGCACAAGCTCGGCGTCGCGCGGCGGGCCGTCCGCGAGTCGGTCAGGAAGGCGTCGGACCGCGGCCGCTCGCCGGGCTCCCTGCGCCGCCAGTTCTCCGACACGCTCCTCCGGCGGCCGTCGAAGTCGCGCGTCGAACCGGCGACGGGGGCCGCCGCGCCGGAGCCGGCCGCGCCGCTCGTCGTCGCGCCCGCGAGCCTCGACGGCGGGCCGCCGCGCCTCGGCGAGTGCGCGGACAGCATGCGCCTCAGCGCCCACGGCTTCGACCTCGCGCCCGTGCAGACCCAGAGGCGACCGCGCGTCGACTCCGACTCGGATTAGCCCCGGTCATTCGGGGGCCCGTGTGTTTTAAAAGGGAATGTTGACCAAGGTATTGGTGGGGTGGCGAACCCGCGGAAATAAAACCGTACAAAAGGATGTTGACGCCATGTTGAACCATTCGCTGAAGGCATAAATTTATTGCCACTTCGAGAGCATGGCGCTCCCTCGCAGCGTCGCGCCGCGCCCGTCGCTCCTCAAAATCTGCGTCGTCGCGCTCCTCGCAACAACCAGCGACGCCGCGAAGAAGAAGAAGAAGCGTAAGGCCGCGGGTCCGCCGGCGAAGGTCGCCGAGCTCAGCGAGTGCGCCGCCTGCGAGAACTGGGCGAGCGACGCGACGGCCTTCGTGCGCGCCAAGGTGCGCCACCGCCTCAACCCGCCGCCGGCGCCGGCGCCCGGCGAGCCCGTGGGCCTCGAGCCGACCTGGAAGATGCGCCTGAACCGCACGTGCCGGAGCCCGCGGCTGCCGTGGTGCGAGTCGTGGCGCGTCCACGAGAACGCGGCGCTCATCGCCGAGCTCCAGGACCTGAGCGACGCCGCCGACGACGTCAAGGACTCGTCCATCGACGTGCTGAGCATCCAGAGGGCTTTATGCGCGCACGACGGCCCCGTGCGCGCGTGCGGCAAAAACCACAAGTTCAAGAAGCGGAGCTCGCCGCACGCGGTCGACGTCGCCTTCGCGAACCGCATACCGAAAAAGAGCGCCGCCGTCTACTGGCTCGCGCCGGGCCTCGACGTCGCCAAGGAGTCGGCGAACGCGGCGAACCTCCGCGGGACGCTCAACGAGGGCGCCCAGATGACCGAGGACTCGTTCAAGGGCCACCGCTACAAGGTCGTCGTCGACGGCCAGGCCTGGCTCGACGGGCCCATCGTCGACGTGCCCGAGGGCCCCTTCGTCGCCTACTCCATCGAGGCGAACCCCAGGTGGGTCCCGGCGGGCGTGCCGGCGCTCGTCCCCGCGAAGGGCGCGAAAAAGCCCGCGGGCTGGGACGACGCCGAGGACGGCGACTGGGCGCCGCCCATGGTGGCGAACCCCGCCTTCGCGACGAACACGCAGTACCGCCTCAAGCTCCTCACGGAGGCCGAGCTGTAATTTGACCCACTTTTTAGTCAGTGCTCTTCTCCGCGGCGGCGGCGTCGCCGCCCTCCGTCTCCTTGGCGAGGCGCCGCCGCTTGAACTCGACGCGCGCGCCCTTGCGCCATTTCCACAGCGCCAGCTCCGCCGCGAAGTCGACGCGCAGCGCCTGGACGACCGCGGCGTCGCCGAGGCCGATCGCGCGGTCGAGGCGCCGGAACAGGGCCTTGAGCGCGCCGATGCCCGCCTCGCCGTCCGCCTTGCTCGCGAAGTGGCGCGAGCCCAGGTTGTACTCGTAGCGCCGCTCCGCCGCCTCGCGCTCGCGCACGAAGCGATCCGAAAGCAGCGGGAAGCCGTCGACGAAGTGGTCGTGGATGCGGTGCGTCGCGCCCCAGCGCGCGCGCTTCAGGATCCCGCCCTCCTTCTTCGACGACATGCGGGCCTTGTTCCGCGCATCCATGTCCAGGGCGGCCTTCTTCGACGACCTCTTCTTGGTGGACTCCATCTCAGAGTTCACAATAATTTATTGTACAATGTCATGATTGTGGGCTGCGCTGGCGCATCAACATCAACAAAGTAGACGTTGAAGAGCCGAAAACACCAGCTTGTCACGGACCGTTTGCCGGTCTTATTCATTTTCGGCCAGGGTTTCAAGGTTGGTTGCGGTCGGGGTCAAAATTCGGACCACCCGAAAATGAAAACGCCGCACCCGAAAACCGGGGCAGCCCGCCCGAAAAACGCACCCGGGGCTGCCCCCGCCGCCCCGCCCGCGCCGCCGCACCGCGTCGAACCCCACTCACCACTGCCTCCCAGCACGGCCCGCCCATCGGCGCGCGGCGCGCGCCGGGGGCAAGGAAAGGTCAATCAGAATCATCCGATAACACGACGATACCGGGCCCGACACGCAGTCTGGAATCGCTCTTGCCGCGAGTGTTGCCACAGTTCAGCGGCGCGGCGCCTGGTCTTTGGGCGGCGCGCCTCGGCGGCGGAATCGCCGCAACATGGCGTCGAACATGGCCATGAACCAGCGCGTCCAGAAGATCCTGCTCGAGCTCATGCGCGAGCGCCACAGCCTCTACGCGGGGTTCACGGACGTCGAGCTCAAGTCGATCCTCAAGTCCCACGCCGGGGACGTGTCGGCGTGCCACGCGACGATCCAGGGCCTCCAGGACGCCGACGGGGGGACGGGCGACGTCGCCGCGCTCTACCGCGCGCGCCACGGCCTCGAGCCCGGCGACGGCGGCGGCGACGGCGACGGCCGCGGCGAGGCGGCGGACGCGGCGGGCTTCCCGGGCCCCGGGGCCTACGCCGCGGGCGAGGCCGGCGCCTTCGACCGCGGCGCGAAGCGCTACCGGACCGACGGCGCCGAGGAGGAGCGCGGCGGCGGCGAGCCCTCGAAGAAGAAGCGGCACCGGCCGTCGCGAGACCGCGCGCGCGAGCGCATCGAGCGCCGCGTGCCCCTGACGCGCGAGGGCGTGGACAGCCTCGACTGGAACGAGGCCTGCGAGTACGCCAAGTCCATGGGCGTGTCCAAGAAGAGCCACACGACGCGCGACGCGTACCGCGACGCGTGCCGGTCGTGGTTCGACGGCCGCGAGCGCGCGGTCTTCGTCCCCGCGCGGGCGCCCAACGCGCCGCGCCAGCGCTGGCAGCGCGCGGGGGCCGACGGGCCCCCCGGCGCGCCCGACGGCCGCGCGCCGCGCCCCGCGGGCCGCCGCGGCGCCTCGCCCGCGGCGCTGAGCCCCCGGGACCAGTTCGCGCGGGCCAAGCGCACGGCGCCCCACGAGGGCTACTCGAGCGACGAGGCCGACGACCACCCGCGCCCGCCCCGCGTCGTCGCCGCGGACACCATCGAGCCGTCGTCCGACGAGGACGACGACGAGGCCGACGTCACGCCGCCGCCGACGGACGCGCACACGGACGAGCAGCGCGACATCGCCCGCCTCATGGTCGCCGGCGTCGCCGGCGGCCGGCCCTAGCGCCGCCTCCACGGCCGCCGCAAGCTCTTTGGCGCCGCGCGCCCGCGCCGCCCCCCCGTCGCCGGGGGGCGCCCCCCGCGCCCGCGCCCCGGGCCCGCATCCAATGCGGGTCGAGCCCCACGCTCCGCGCGAGGTCTACACCGCGCGTTACACCCACTGGACACGCGCGCACACCCGCGGGGCGATGGACACACGGCCGCGGACGCCAGGGACCGCGCCGAAAAGAAAGGTTACAGCTCCGCGCCGAAGTGGGCCGCGAGGACCGCCTTCGTCGCGGGGTTCCCCGTGGGGCACGCGTCGGCGCTCGCCAGCGCCGCGCCGAGCCGGAGCATCGTCGCGACCGTGTCCGCGTGCCGCTGCTCGCGGCCCCAGCACGCGCGCGTGATGGGCGGGTGGCCGTCGGCGTGGGCCGCGTCGAGGGGCACGCCGGCCTCGAAGAGGGCCTCGGCGATGGCCGCGCGGCCCTGGAAGCCCGCGCCGTGCATCGGCGTGTAGCCGTCCTTCTCGGCCACCGAAACGTCCGCGCCGCGCTTCAGCAGATACTTCGCCGCGGCGCCCTTGCCCATGAGCACGGCGTGCATGAGCGGGCTCTGGCCGCCGGGGCCCGTGCGGTCGAGCGCACTCGGGTCCGCCGCGAGGGCGGCCTTGATGTCCTCCATGGAGTCGCGCTTCACGGCGGCGAAGATGTCGCCGGCGGCCGACGCGGCGGCCACCAAAGCGAGGAGGATGGTTCGCAGCGCCATGGTTGAGAGGAGCGGCTCGTCTCTCTCGTCGTGGATCGTTTTTTTGCTGCCCCGCGTGCCTTCGACGCCGCCCACCCGGCGGGCGACGCTCTTCTGGCCCGTGGGCGTTGGTCGTGTCGCGTCGCGGGCGTCGGCGGCGCAGATTGCCACAAGCAGGGAGCGAGGTAAAGTTTTCCGGGTGTTTCCCCTTGCTTACCAGCGCGTTGACGGGCTGCCCCGCTCGCGCCGTCGTCTGCCGTTGGTCCGCGCAGCTTTTCCGGCGGCCGCGGCGCCGGCTCCATGGCGTCCTTCGCGACGCAGGCCTACGGGAGCGGCGAGAGCGCGCTCTTCGCGCGCCTGCGGACGGCGCGCCTCGCCGCCGACGACGCCGACGAGGCCCTGGAGCGGGCCCACGGCAGCTACTCGGCCATCATCGCCGAGCAGGTGCTCTTCCACTCGACCTACGGCCAGAGCGCCGACGACGAGACGCTCGACGACGAGCGGAGCAAGGAGGCGGGCGCCGCTCTGCCCGCGCCGGAGCCGCCGGCGCCGGCGCCGGCGCCCGAGCCCGAGCCCGCGCCGCCGGCGCTCGTCGTCGACGCGCCGTCCGTGTGCGACGCGGCGCCGGCGACGGCGCCGCCGTCGAGCCTCGCGCGCACGGGCGTCCTCGGCGACGACGACGAGTTCTTCCCGGCCGCCCTCGAGCTTCCCCTCGAGCTCCCGGAGGGCGGCGTCGTCGAGGAGCTCGCCGCGAACGTGCCCGCGCCGTCGCCGCGCGCCGCCGTCTGCGACGAGCTCATCCTGCCGTCGCCCTGCGACGAGCTCGTCCTGCCGTCGCCGCGCGCCGACGTCTGCGACGAGCTCATCGAGGGCGCCGAGCCCGCCGCCGTCGACGCCGCGCGCTCCGCGGCGCGGGGCCCGAAGTCCGCGCGGTCCGAGGCCTTCGGCTTCGGCGACGACGCGTCGCAACGGTCGGAGGCCTTCGGCTTCGCCGACGACAAGTCGCAGCGATCCGAGGCCTTCGGCTTCGCCGACGACGCGTCGCGACGGTCGGAGGCCTTCGGCTTCGCGGACGACAAGTCGCGGCCGTGCCCCGAGTCGCAGCGATCCGAGGCCTTCGGCTTCGCCGACGACAAGTCGCAGCGATCCGAGGCCTTCGGCTTCGCGGACGACGACCGAAGCTGCCCGAAGACCGCCCCGAAGACCGAGCGGTCCGAGGCCTTTGGCTTCGCCGACGACGAGGGCGCGGGCTCGAAGCAGTCCGAGGCCTCGGGCTTCTTCGCCCTCGACGCCGCGCCTCCGGTCGCGGCGCTCGACCGGAGCTGCCCGAAGACCGCCCCGAAGACCGAGCGGTCCGAGGCCTTTGGCTTCGCCGACGACGAGGGCGCGGGCTCGAAGCAGTCCGAGGCCTCGGGCTTCTTCGCCCTCGACGCGGCGCCTCCGGTCGCGGTCGAGCCGGTCTCGCCGCTCCGGGCCGCGGTCGAGAGCCCGACGACGCACGACAGCCGCCCGGCCTCGAAGGAGGCGTCGTCCGCGCCCGACGCGCGCGCCGAGGCCAAGGCGCCGGCGGCCAAGGCGCCGGCGGCCAAGGCGCCGGCGGCCGCGCCGCGCGAGGCCAAGGACGCGCGCCGCAAGCCCGAGCCGCGGCCGGCGGCCGGCGCCCGGGCGCGGCCCGCGCGCGCCGCGCCGCAGCAGGTCCCGGCGACCGTCGCGCGCCGCGCGCCGCCGCGGAAGGCCGCCGCGCCGAGGGCCGCGGCGCCCAAGGCCGACGGGCCCCGGCAGAACTCCGCCGAGCGCCTGCGCGCGCCCAAGGCCGCGGCGCCCAAGGCCGACGGGCCCCGGCAGAACTCCGCCGAGCGCATGCGCAGCAAGATCCAGTCCGACGCGCGCCGCGTGAGCGCCGCGGGCGCCGCGCTCGACGCGCTCCTCGTCGACGACGCGCCGCCCTCGAAGCACGTGCCCCGGTGCGCGCGCGCCGCGCC